CTTGGGTAATGCACAGGCCACCGCGTCGTCTTGCGCCAACACCGGGGCACCAGATAGCCGAACAATCATCACGCCCAATTCCACCATGCATGATTCAAGTTCAGCCGGTCACGGCCCGCATGACGGTCAGCAAGTAAGTAACGCACGAGAAGGCAGTTATCGTTAATTGTCGTTGTAATAAGTGTGCAGTAATTAGAGAGAGAATGCTTTATTTTGAAGGTAATCCAATATTTTCAGCAGATGGCTCCATTCACTGAGAGAAAGGGATAAGGTAAGGTGAAAGATCATAGAATGCTCAAAGTGAAAGGTTTACACGATATCCACATCTATTCTGGAGACAGATCGGCCTTCATCTTCTCAATTTTCATTTCGTCGCAAGTGAGGTAGCTTGCTAGGAATGGGATTGCAGATATGCCGATGTACGGCAAGATATATGACGGAATCTTCGGCGCATAGTATGCGAAGACTTCGCAGCCATTATTTCAAAGTGGAGAGGGTGAGCGACCTCACTAAGGATGTGATTAGCAAATTGCTTGACCATTTTAAAGTGTCGCTGTATTATAATGTCAGATAAAAATAAATAGGAAACACCGACAGCTGAAGAGAGCATTCGGAGGATACGTTTAAAATGACTAGGTCTTTTTTAAGTAAAGCTGGAAAAATAACTGGAGAGCAGTAAAGAATGAGTGTATCGTATAAATACTGCAACTTCCTGTGCATGTATTAGTCGCTTCTGTTGATGTCTCTGATGTAGAATTCGTGGATAAGGCTCTTTTCGCAGCGATCGCATCTTCTGCTCAATTGCTTGTTAGTCCACGTCCGAGTCGTTTATTGCCGAAATTTAATCACCGTTCTCTCTCCTTGGCGTAATGATGACTTCGCAGTGTGGTTCGCCGTCACTGGAACGTTTGGTCGCCTCTGTGGCCATTTACTCCGCCTAGGCAATGTCTCCGCACAGAATATGGCATCACGAGGTCATTGCGCTGGTTAATCGACTGCGGGGCAGAAGCCAAACAGTTCATGGCTCACGCGGTTGTCAGACCTTGCGAGAATTTTGGCCTCGTCAAACTTAAAGGTGTGGCCGGGGTCCATCACATGAGCCATGACCTGAGACTTAACCCTCTTCTCCCTCATGTTCGGCCATATTCGTGCGGAGTAACCTTCCAGTTTCTCTGGTTGTATGACCGGAAGCGTCTTCTCTGGCATCAAATAAGGCACTTTCTACTAGCCGAATGTTTCTCCTCAGAAAGTGACTTACTTATTGTGATTCTGTTTTTGAAAGAGGCTGTGGTTGGGACCCCCATGCAGTATTAGACCGCCGTCCTTGCAAAACTGTCATCTTGTTACCGTCTCTCAAATTTCCTTCTAGTCGGAACTTTTTCGTGTTTTGTGATGCCGCATATCTCTCTGCATTTAAGGAAGTATGTAGGGGGCATGACTTTTCTTCTACTACTACTGATTAGTTTAATGCCTGGTTTGCTTTTAGCGATTCTACGCTGATGGCTTCCGTGACCGGTGAGCAGGACCACAAACCTCTGGCCACAACTGGTACGCCTATCGCCACCTGCATCGCCCTTTATGACTTCAAGGGTCATCTGCCGGGTGATCTCTCACTAAAAGTAGGCGAGAAAGTGAACATTCTCAAGGAAAAGGACGGCTGGTACGAGGGCGTGTCTTTGAGTACCCACCAGAGCGGCATGTTTCCGGCAAATTACGTGGAGAAATTGCCCTCCACGGTGAGTTTTTGCGAGCCTCCCTCTCACTATGAATGAACAAGTTTGTGACTGCGTATTTTTTTCCCGAATATCCCGAACGATGTATTGGGGTGTATTTGCAGATAGCCGTCATAGTCAACTGTGTAGGTGTTATAACGTTAACAGGGTTTTTCCGTGCCTCTCTAGGGGTTTTACTTGCTCGCCGTTTTTTTTCTATTAATGCCGCTTTCGACTGAGAAACAGTTGGATGAAGTTAGAGAAGGGAAAGTTGGAATAATTAGATATGTCTACTACCGGTCGCCTCCGCCATCCGTAGAGCGTGAGCACTACAGCATTCCCATGATCTAGTCAAATGAGTGTAACATCCTTACGCCCAAACATCCCCATAAGCTTTATAAATAATAATATAGTGAATGCGTGATGTTTTAATGTGCGCCCCGTTGGTAATAACAACTATAAGCCTTGTAGGAGTCTAAGTCGTGGTTATTCCTAGATCACTACAATCATCAGGTCGAATCCCAGGTTAGAAGTTAAAAGGCAGAGTCACCAAATTGCTTTTACATGACTGTGAAGCGGGTTCAAGTGTTCTGTTATTGGTGTGTTGCAATTGCCCGAGGGGATGTTGCCTGCAAAGGCCCCCTGCTGCGTTGCCGCGACTTGACTTGTTCGATTGGCACTTATGCGTACTTATTTGGACGCGCGGGTGTGGAACACGTGTGTGAGTGAGTGAATATCGGTCAAGTGGCCTTCAGGTCAGCAAATGGGAACAGCCGCGTGCAAAGACAAATGATTTTGGGGGGCGCGGGCATTGAAAAACGAAGGGGGGAGGCATTGTGACCGTCCGCCACAGCCTACAAGCACCCAACCTTTGAGCATTGCTAAGCATGTAACCAGTATGATTTTGTTCCCCACATCTGATGAGACTTTCAACTTCCGTACCGGACAGTCGGTATGGTTTCATCGTTCCAGTCGTACCACCTGCGGCTGACAGGAGAGTGGCTCTCCGTAATAACCTAAAACATGAGGCGCCGACTTTATCCGCGGTGGCAAATGCGGGCCAATTATGAGAGAATAACCTACAGAGCGTTAATTATATATTTTCCGATCATACAGACAGCGGATCTGGTTACTTTTGCTTTTGAAATTTCCCCCTTTTCTGCAGCTGCCGCGCACATAATTCATTGACAACTAGGCCAGTACTTATCACCGCAACGTCTTTAAACTGCTGCATTGTCACTTTTCCGCAGTCAGTCCACTATTATCAAGTGACTGACTGTTTTTCTGTAGTCTGACAATGTTTTCTACGGATTTTCTACCATCCTAGAAATACACTCTCTGTCTTCTTATCAGCAGGGGAACTTCTTTTACTTTAAAGCTTATCGTTTAGCGCTAACGTAATGCCTATCTTTTGACTTTTTAGGTTCACTCTCACTTAGACCCAACAATTGTAACAATTTGTAGGCATCACTTCTCTTAGATGGTATTTAAAGCCAGCGAGAATTCACCCTTCAGTGGGCCCCAGAACTTGCGTTCTTGCATTTACGGCATACAGTGGAACCTCCTTTAACGGGTTTAGTCCGTTCCGACAGTGAACTCCTCATGTGAAACACTCGTCTTGCGCAACGTGGCCAATCAGCCTGCATCACTTCACTGATTGGCTGCAGGTAACCGAAGACCCACGCCCTGGGAACAAGACTTTACGGCGGACACAAGCAAACACACGCACTGACAGCTCGTTAACTGAGCAGAAGCTCGTCAATAGAAACAAAAGTTTTGCTAGTGGCTCGCTCGTTACCTGAAATTCTGGTAGCTGCTCGTCATCCAAGGCTCCACTGTATTGCTTTTACCCTTTAAATAAAACATTGCAATAGTTCTTTTTAATGACTCATTCATCTGTGGCCGTACGAATGTATTATGTGAATCTTGTAGTATTTAAACTTCCTATGTGTGTTGTTTTGCTTAAGTGGGCATATTTATATCTATATATTTCTGATATACTAGTCGCTTTCTATAGTTCTGTGTTAACTCAGGTGATCAGACTAGATGTTTTTTCCTTCTCAGGAATCTTCAAATTCGCCTACCACCAATGGAGTGGCGCCCGTCGTTCAGTCTGTTTCTGCAGACCTGCAGGAGGCCACTGCACACCCCACTTCTGCAGCCGCTAAGGTGAAGCAGCCCGAGGAGACGGCGATAACTGT